CACACACACACACACACGCACACACACACACGGGATTTCTGCTCAGCCATGGCTCCCTGGTAGATGCTCAAAGCGGCTGTTGTCAGAGCAAATTAAATCTGCACCAGCTCGTTGCTTTTCCTCCTCCTGACCTTGCCTGCCTCCGCGTTGAGGGGGTTTTCAATATTTTATCCGGGATTCCTGCGCTGTCTGTCTCCCCATGGCTACATCGGATGGACTAGACGGCTGTCTGCAGCGAGGCAGATCTCAAAGTGACCCGAACATACTCACCGAACCGGGCATCGACCTGGCACACGGCACAGGTAAGACGCGTCATTGTCTGGATCGCCTGTTTTGTGCCATAAACGTGTTCTCATAGGGTGCCGTCTATTTTTTGGCGATGCAGCGGTTTCCATCTCCTCGCGTCTTCCCCCACTGGGATACCTCAGCACCATGGGATAATTAGCGCATACGCTTCCAACCCTGCACGCAAAGATACGAGACCGCATCTGAATAGTGGAGGTGCAAATTGATATTTAATGTTCCATAGCAGCGTGTGTGAATATAGATTTGTGCGTTATGTGCTGTGCACGCCTGTAACCCTTTGCATTGGGTTGTTATGGCTGCCAGTGTTTAGGAATCAGCGTGCGGGGCCGTTTAATGTGAAAATAATAACTATAGTTCAACACCTCACAGTATAGATGGACTATCTGTTGATGTGTGCGTCCTGCTGCATGGTCAGCTCCTCAGATACCGGGTGCATGTGTGCGCCACGGTGCCAGTTTGAGCGCATTTGTTGTGTTTGATGCGAGCCACCATTACTCCTCGTTATTCTGCAGACACAGGGGCTTTGACTCTCGGCTGCATTTTTGAAAAAGAAGCACATGCACATCTCATTGTATAGACTGATCTCTGGGTATATTGACTTCTGTGATACCCTCACCCACCCTTCACCACACACATACACTGATCACTGTGGTGTGATCAATGACCCCGGCCTTCCACGTGATGTAGCCTACATAGGTGGAAACCATAGACTGTGGTGGAAACACACCACCCTCAGCACAACCATGCCTCACACAGCAAAGCCATTCACCAATCCACTGATCGATCCTGCAGGTGTGCTTCCTAACATGATGCCTGTGTTTATTATCTCCCTCTGCACTGTTGGCTCTCCCTCTGCATATGGAATAATGAATTGATCTTTCATTAATGAGAGGAGAGCACCAGGGAGCAGTCATGTTCTGCACCTCACCAACCAACAACACACTTCATGTGGCCCTCGTTATGTTTGCTGCAATTTCCTCTCTCATACTGCTTAATTACCAGCATGTTGTTCAATTGCATGGCTTGATTTTTCTTTCTTTTCTTTTTACGTAAGTGTGGTTATTTATGGTCATATTGTGTGGGCCTGAAGAGAGTCATTGCTTACTCCCACACATGGAGAGTTTTACGCACATGAAGAATGCTCGAGTGAATGATTCAGAAAAAAAAAGTGTCATTCACCTTTCAACTGCTCCCTAATGAATCCTGCAATTTTTTTTCTAATCTCCAAAATCACACCTGTCCGCACTCATCAGCTGCCCCCACAGCAGATATTTTAATGGACCCCCGCTGAATTCAGCCCTCTCCTGTATGGACGATTTAATTCACACATGGGTGGATGTGATAATGTCACACAGGGTCTTTGACACACCTGAATCAACAACGCAGCAGCTTGGCAGATCAGCCGTGCCATCGTGAAGAGAGCTAAAGCGATCAGGGCTCCAGTGACCATCCGCCTTTAACACTGGAGTAGAACACACAACTGTGCTACTACGATGTGAATATAACTGTGCAAATGACAGACACAGTAAACACACTTGTCACTGCATGGACAATGTCAGTGTCTGGTGACCCAAAGTACACAACATCACCCACCCCCTCTCTCTCTGTGTGGATCATCACTGCGCTAGCGTCTGGGACACCAGCCTTTGCCAAAGGATTACTTTGGCAAAGGCTGTCTTTTTCCCCCAACACAGAGGCTCTTGCAGCTGCAGAGGCTGACACTGTATTCATGCACTCACTCCACACTGGGGAGGAGACTCGATGGAGACAGCAGTTACAGCTGACCATCACAGAGAAGCTGTTTTTCTTTTTGTCCCTGAATGATGATGCAGAGATAATCAGGAGCCACAGGACAAGGAGACTGTAGAAGTCTCAAGTCATTTGTCCTAACAATCCACTTTTTATTAAGTGCAAAGAAAAACATTTCAAAGTCTTCCTGCTGATTGTTTTCTCCTATTGATGCTGTAACTTTTTACCCTTGTGAAAAAGAATGGAGACCTCCTGCTCCTGCTGTTGATTTACAGGCTTATATTAAAGTTGTTTAGGAGCATACATCTGGACACAGGTGCAGGAGAATAAAAAACTTGTTTAGTCAGTTTGTCCAGACGAGGCCCTTTTAGATTATCCCGTTAATAAAATGTCACTTTCACTCAAACTTCCGCGTTGGTCATTGCAGACTGTCGACCAAGGTAATGGTGTGGAGAGGACACCTTGAAGCTGTGTGGACAGGAAGCAGGTCCTAGCAGGTCTGTCCCTGTGGCTTCTCTCCATAAATACATTCTTCTGTCCTGCAGAACAATGGACACAGCCAGAGAAAGAGGGCTAAATCACATGCATATCAGGACAAGTCGAGTGGGAGTATCAGTATAAGTCCCTGTAAATATGGTGTAAATGAAATTTAATAACGTTATTATATTTCATTAGGAAATATTGCACAATAGAGAATTTTGGTAAAAGTAAAAAGTGCACATTACACTTTCCCAGAGTTATAGAGGATGTATTTTGTTGCTTTCCCAAACTAAAATATTCAATTCACAACAGAAAAGCAGCATATTCTCCTCCATTAGAAGTGGGAATTAGCAGAAGTTAACAAACTGTGGAAACTAATGATAAAAGTGATCAATAGACGTTTGTTCATCAACTATTGGAATATTGAACAATTGCTGTTGCTGTGAATGACTTCTCCTCCTTCTGCAGTAATTCCTGAAGAAAATAATTTTCCCCTTTTGGGAAGTCAGATAAATGAAAGAGCATTGTCCCTGGAGCTCACAGGGATCAGTCACCTTGCTCAGGATGACATCAGCTCGGGGAATCTTTGCTCACATGGTGGCTTAAACCTGTGAACAGTGGGACCTACTTTGTCCAGTTACAGAACAGCGTCTCACCACTAGTTTACTGATCAGTGGCTTTTTAAGATCTCATCCTTCTCTGCTGGTCTCACTGATAGCTGGATAATCCTCTCAGATCTGACATCAGAAGAACCTCTGAGGATTGCAGGTATAAGTAAAGCCCCCCCACTCTCCTTGTCTTACCAAACCCTTGCGAAAGCCGATATCGGGCCGTGACGATGACTCACCCCAAACCCGAGCAGAGTCTTGTGCATAATACCTCGCTTATGCTACAGGCCCTGATGAGTAAATACGGGAAATTCTGAGTCAGCTGCTCTTATATAATGTGCTCCCCATTTAACAAAGCTTTGTTTAAAATGAAGGCGTAACATTGTACACAAAATGGCTTTAGCGCCACAGGAATTCCTTACATAAGCAGAATGGATTTAAAGCAAATCAGTTTTAACATCTGAATGAGCAGCTTTGGCATGAAACAGTGACAGAGATGCAGACATAAATAGAGCATTCATATTTATACAAATGACACTGTCTCTGTCATTCAGAGAATCTGAATCACAAACGAATATCCCTTTGTTCAGTAGGAAAAGAAAAGTTAAAGATGGTGCAGAAACACAGAGGCCAGCTTGGTCCTGCAGGCTGTGAACTAGATGCATCTTTTATATGTGTCCGCTTTATAATGAGGCATTTGAAGACCCTCAACAGAGTGTAAGAGGGAATTATGTGGTTATAGTGGTGTTTGGTGTGGCTGTCTATCTCACCAGCCTTTTTTAAATGATTTTCAACATCCTCTTTATTACAGAGACAGGATGTGAACTTGTTGCATTCCTCTGTGGATGAGGTGGGTGAATAAAACAGCGGGAGAACAACGGTGACTGCGAAGTGAGAAGTTGTTTTTGTTCTAAAAACGTGAGAAGTGAGAATCAGGCACCAGAAAATAACTCCTCTCCTACACTTTAGTCTGTAAATATCTCAGAATGACACCACGCTGTGTGTGTGTGTCCATGTCGTCACTCTTACGAAGCAGAAACACACCGCAACACATTCAAATTAAGTATTAAGTGTCTAAGGAGGAGATTTGAAGTGAAATTTTAAATACATTTAAGTTACAATAATTTGGATTTGAGTATTCCTGTGTTTTCAGTCATTACAGAGATTGATGCACAGTATTGTGGGACCAATACAGATTTTAATATTTAATATGGCTCCATTATACACAGGCTATAGCACAGTTAAAAGTAAATTAACCCTTATTAGAGTTGAAACAATTAATCAGTTGATTAATTGGCTGCTTTTTTTGCTAACTGATAAATTGTCATTGTTTCATTACTCTTTTGTATCATTGTAAACTAGAGGTGTTCTGATACTGATATCAGTATTGGAAATGCCTCCGACTGAAACTGCTGTGCCAGGCAACAAAGAGTGTGTGAATCTATGTATTGATCACGTCTTTAAAGTTTATTTGTTTCACCCAAAGAACTGCAACTTCTTTTCCTGGAAATAACTTCTTCTTTGCCGCTTCAAAATATCAGTCACGCTGCTCTGCCACTGACGAGTGCTGTCTTTAGAGTGGCAGGGAGAAGAAGTGATATCCAGTAGTTGATTGTCAGCCACAGCAAGCTGAAATGTCAGCAATTTGATAATATTTCATGTTGGAAAGTCCACAAGTAGACTTCATTTTTGAGTGTTGCCAATTATAATCTCATGAAGCATTTGAACAACCATTGAAATAAAGAGCACAAGGACTTCACCAAGGTGAAGGGAAAAATAATCTGTGTTCTTTTTTAGTTAATAATGTCAAACTAGATAATAAAAGGAGCTCTACAGCATTAATTCTCTGTATGTATTTGTTTTTCAAAGGGTTTAACCTGAGCCAGGTCATACAACAATGATAGCAG